CAAGTAGAATTTTGATTTGAGGTCTTAAAATGGGGGCTACTTTGTAAAGTTCATGCTTGCATATTAAGGAACCTTTGAGAAACTTGGCATAAGACAAGGTTTAGCTTATTTTTTCACTCATTCAATACCAATTACTCATTTAAGGAGATATTAAGTGGAAATGCATGGCTTATCATGAGTTTGCATGAGAATTACTAAATATGGAAAAACCAAAATCTCATTGCATGATACATTCTAGAAACTTCTTGGAATCTTCTACAAGCTTCTACACACTTCCATCCTTCTCTATAAATGCCCTAGAGTTGATCCATGGCAGGTTTGGTGATTGAGAGTGCTTGCACTACATAGTTTGGTTCCATAACTCCATATTGCATTTTGCTTTCAAACTCCATTGAAACTTCATCAATCATCATAATTCTTGTTATCATCATCATCTACCATCATCATAGAGCAATTGGCAAACAAAATTGAGAGGAATTCGTGGCTGGTTCATGAGATCCAAAGCTTCACTCCGAGTTGCATGAAGAATTGGATAGAGTGATTCAAGAGGTGTAAGCAAGAACCATTGCAAACAGAAGAATATATATCCATTGAAGAGCATCTGAAGCAAGCATCAAGGCTTGGATTGAAGAGAAACCACCATAGCCATCATCACTTGCAAGGTAAGCAACTTCCTTCGAATCTCCTTGTTTATTCAGTTTTAGAACTTGTTGTTAGGATAAATGTGATTAGAGACTCTTAGGGTTGAATCATGATTAGTTTGAGGGCTGTTCTTGAGGTTTGTTCTCATGGCCATTTCTGTTTTAGGATCAAGAACACATAACCTAGTGTACTATAATCTTAGTTCTTTAGTTTAGTATACTCCCCACAACATGTAAAACATTCTTGCATAGTTTGAGCCATAGTTATTTCCATGCAAACCAGGTGTAAACAAGTGTGCCCAGAACTTTCCTTCATCGTGTCTCTTTATAGGTTGAGTTTTAGAAAGATCCATGGCCATAGTCTTATAGAGGGTAATGAGAGGAGTAATTTTGGTCTTTACATCGAGGCAATTAGTTGCGAGATGAGAGAGCTAGAGGGAGTGGAAGATTCACGTTTGAAGCTGGTTCATGGCAGTGCTTGTGCAAACCCTAATGGTGAAGTGGAGAAGATGATCTCCTAGCCGTGGGATCGAGTCCACTCACTTGACCTTTTAGGCTGATCGTACGGTTGGGATGTAAAAGAAAACGGAGGGAATTCCGTGGAGCTAAACGTCACCGTTTCAATAAGTGATGAGTCCTGGGCCTCAGCAAAATCTTGCTGCTCGCACCCCACCCAGAAGGCCCAATTGAGTTAACACGTTAAAACTTACTTTCTGCACCGTCCGTATATCATGTTCTTTTTGATTTTTCATAGCAATTTTTCCTGCGCGCGTGGGCCTAAGCCATTCACTATCTGAACCCCCCTTCCTGGGCCCATCATGGAAAGTAACTGGGCGCAGTTACTTTTGATACCCCCCATCCCTTTTAATTCATTTTCTTGTATTTTCTCATTTTATATTTTCTTGCATTTTATAAAATCCATATAAAATTGAAAAGTGATTATTTTTCACTTCTTGTTTTTTCTACATGTTCATGATTTTGTCTAGAAAAACATCAATAAATAAAATTCCATTTTATTTTTATTTTAATATTTTTAGCATATTATTCATTTAAATAGCTTTTTAATTGATTTTGGTTGATACTTGATTTTGTAGAATTTCTTTTAGGACTTTCCCTTAGGATTTTTGAGCCATTCTTTTTGGCATAGTTAGGTATTGAATCATAGTTCATATAGGATTTAATTCACAATTTGTAGATTAAAATTTGATTAGTTTGATAAGCATAGCATTAGCATAACAAAATTAGGGTTTTAGGTTGCATAAGTAGATTTGAACAATTTTGTTTTGGGTTTTATAGGCCAAATTAGTGTATGGGGAATATATGGGTTAAGGGTAAGTATGTATAGAATCCCCTAGAATTTTGCTAGAGTATTATATAGTATTTTAGTATTTTTAATTGATTTTTGAATGTATGGTTAGTATGTGTGTTGCTTAAAGGCATAGTTTGTATTGTTTTGCTTTCTTTTCTTCTCCTTTGAGTGTGTGAGCCTTGAGGATTGAGTTGAAGACCTTGTAGATCATCATTGAAGACTTTGAAGACCTTGAGGAGGAGCTTAGTTTTAGCTTTTGTTTGTTCTGTTATAGGATCATAAGTACATAGGTAGAGCTTTAGATAGAATACTTCCATTCAATAAACAAGGAGTGTCTTGTTCACCTCCTTCCTTCTCTATGACATAAAGTCCCTTAAGGGTATTCACCTCTCTCCTTTGGAGGGATTAGTGACCTTGCCCTATGAGGTAGAACTTTGAGAGAGCCTTTCCTTTGATGTTAAGTCCTCAATGGCATCCTTTGGAAGTCAGTGAGCACTCTAACATCCTCACCTCATCTTGTTGACTGAGTCTTGTTTGATGGAGCATTTGGGTTGTTGAAGATAGCAATGAAGAGCATTGAAGATTTGATTGAAGATGTAAAAGCCCTTGAAGATAGAAGCTGAAGCTTTGAAGAGGATGAATCCTTGAAGACTGCCATTCCAGCTGAAGCTTGATGAGCATGAAGATCAAGTTGATACTTGAAGATCCTTGAGGATAGTGAAGCCTGAAGGTGGAGCTGATCAAAGAAGCTGAAGCTGAAGGGAGAAGATGAGTTGATACTCATGTGGTAGGGTTGATGCCTGGAAAGCAGTAGACATCTGAAGTCTGAAGACTGTGTTGTTGCTGGAGGAGCTGAAGCTTTCTTCTGTTTTCTTTTCTGTATTGTTTGTTTTGCTTGATTTGTCTATTGCATTAGATTAAGTTCATCTAGGATAAGTTCAGTCTAAGAGCATGATTGCATTAGAGGTTGAGTTGCTCCCTCTGCTTGTATTGTTATTGCGTGGCTTTGCTTGCGGGTATTCGGTAGAGCCCAGCTCCCTTGCCCATGTGGTATGTTTGCCTGATGGCATTTCATTTCATTTTATCTGTATGATTGCAGTTTACTGTTTATTGCTTGATAGCATGTTGTTTATTTTTCAGTATGATTACTGTTATTTCATGACTGGCTTGAGGTTGAGATGAGCTTGTGGAGGCTGAAGCCCCACACACGTTTCCTCCCTCACTTGCATTGCATGCATTTTACTGTTAAAGATGATGCTTTGTCTGTTTTGGTGTATCATTGACATGATCCCTTAGGACTCTCATTTCTTTTGATAAGGATTTGATGATAGACTTTTAGGTTGAAACCTATGCATGACAACATCTAGGAGTTCCCTGTTCAAACCTCAACCATAGGATGAATCCATGGCATGACAACAGTAGGACTTGATAGTCTCCCTCCTAGTTGGGCCTGTTCTCTTCTCATCTCAAAACAGTTTAAGATACAGTAATCATGAATGATTTCTTTCGTATGTTACGAGCCTTAAGCTATCTGAGAGAGGATTGTGGGAGAGTTTCTTTTCCACAGTCTGGATGTTTAGTATGGTACCCTTGGGGTGACATGCGACGCATTCACTCTCAGGTCATAGTCTCTAGTGCGGTTGAAATCGCAAACACAATAAAAAACACTTCTTTCAGGAAATAAGCCGTAGTTTCCCGAACTACGTTCGCTCTGATCTTCCATGCAGTGTAGAAGTACGTAGGCATAGGATGCGACGTCCTAGCGAGAAACCTTCAACCTTTCCCCCATAACCCTTCGTAGGCCGAACTACATTGACTCTGATTTCTCATTCTCTGATGAGAATACGTAGGCATAAAGTGCGACGCTTTGGCGAGTCATTTTTCTTTTCTTTTTCAGCCAGCCTTGATAGGTAGATAGATTATAACCAACCCGTCCAAGTAAACAAACAAGCGAGGATCCCGTCGAGTACGACGGACATGAGGGGTGCTAATACCTTCCCCTTGCGTAACCGACTCCCGAACCCAGACAATGGTTGCGATGACCTTGTCTTACCCTTTTTCGTCAGGTTTTTCCGATCGTTTCCTTTCCCGCTCTGAGGGATAAATAACGAAAGGTGGCGACTCTTCTGTCATGCCGGCACCTTATTTTCGCGCAAGCGACAATTAGCATGATACATATCAACTACAAATGCATCATTGATCATGTTATGAATAGGATCTTCGAAAATGATAGTATCTTCAACCATTTTTTGATTAGTACTAGGTACAACAAAGGACTCTCCATGATGAATCCACATGGTGTATCCCTGCGGAAATGGTGACCACATTAAGTGGTTGAACATGTCACTCCTACTCTTTGATTTTTTGAAATCACAGTGTTTGCAAGGGCATATTACTACGTCATTTTCTTTTGCACCTTTAAATGCAAAATCAACAAATTCTTTTATCCCTTGCTGATATGCAATCGATGATTGCGGCTTAGTAATCCATGACTTATCCATTTCTTCAAAAAATAGACATAGATGGATACAACAGTAAAGTTCAAAGCAAATCCTATATAAAAAAAGCAAACACTTTAAATACAAATATTTACAGCAATAGAATCAGATGCCATTAAAAGACAAAAGTTACACTCTAGCCTCATAATCACAAACTAACCAAAATAAACCCAAGACACTATGTCATATATTATTAACCGTCGCAAAACCATTCTTAACAAAAATATGGTAATTAACATGGACCAAATGACATCATGATATTCTACTGAATAATATATCTATGGTTCATTCTAAATCTCCACAACATTCATTCTTAGCATGGATGAAACTGATATAAGCAGTAACAAAATCATCGACAAAATAGGAGATAAGCAATGCAATGGTGAAGAACATATTGAAAAATTCTGGCAGTATTACATAGTTGAGAAATTCTAGCCCTTGAGATTGAACAAAAAGATAGGTCCGCATTCTCTTTGAATAAAACTGATTTCATCTTTCAATGAAATACATACATGTCAATATGCTATAGATTTTTTACAGTCAAACAGAAATTTAAACACCAAAGAGCATTGCAAAATCTAATAAGCTCAAATGAGATTTAAACCATTTAAAAATTCGGTCAGAATGCACACTTGTCATCTCATGGTAAGCAAATGCAAGGTTTAGCTCTTCTTGGACATGAGGAACTAAATGCTCATCAATATCTATTTCTTCAAACATCCCTTCAGCAATCATAAGCACAATACTATTAAACTTCTTAACAGTTGCAAGTAAAGATACAAAATAACCTTCTGATGAAGCACCTAAAGCCACAAGAGGAAGTTTCTCAAGCTTCCTCTCACCAATCCACCATTCTAGTATATCTTTAACAATCAACACTTCATTATTTCCATAACTCCAACATCTATGCGCACTTGAAATAGTAATAACAGCAAAACCTTCAGCAAGACCGTGAAGTACAAGCAACCGTTCTTCAGGCAAACCGACACAATCAGGGCATTCAGACGATTTGTCCCAAAAGTTAATGGCTTTTCCATTACATCCATGAGCAAGAAAAAGAACACCTTTAGGTGATTCAGGTACTTGCCATATCAAATCTATTCCATTCCTGAACTCTCTTGTGGGATGCAATTTCACCAAAAAATCAAAGCTATTCCACTTTTGCTTATGAGAATCATAAGCTAAACTTGGTTTTACTTTTACTTTGACACGATGATCATCATTATCATGAACATTATCAAATACTAAAAATAGAATCACTAGCATTAGCATCAATGTAAAAGACATAACAAGTACTTGGATCATGCAAATGTAACCACTAGCAGTACTACTACATTGCTTTGATTTGTATCCATTATTATTCAACATGGTGAAAAAGGGGTTTATAGCAGGAAGAGAAAAAGATCAAATTTTGATCAAAATTTCTTGATAGAGGATGAGTAAACTATAAAGGGTCAATGGCATATAATCAAATTGATCATTGAAATGAAAGGGAGATTCTCTATAATTGATTTTCAAAAATATGAATACTCACATGGAATCATAAGTGAACTTGATGGTTAATCACTTGTTTGTTAGAATCTGAATTGAATTGGATGGATTAATCGCCGAAACTGAGTGCTGCAATTGAAGTGTAAGGTTTGCGGTTACATGATGGAATTGAAGGTTTGCGGTTACTTATGAAGAAGTTGAAGCAACAATAGATGGATTTTCATTGAAGAACTGTCTTTTATGTGTGAACTTCTGTCACGGATGATGAAGTCCTCATAAGTCCATGATTTTTTCCCATAAATCCATGATATCTCTCCCACTGAGAAATTTGAAACCACCTTCAATTCCATTAAGACATATTAAATGGCCATAACCATTACAATGAATCACACCATGTAACATATGACTTTCATTATCTAAAGCTTCTTCGTTTAACGATTTATGCCAAGAGTTGTCCATTGGAATTATAAAACGGTTTCTCTGCTCTGCAAACTTCTGAACAAAAAAACTGATGCTTCGTTGAAGCAACTTGCACCTAACGTCGAAATGAAGACGATAGCGGTGATGATGATGATGATGGCGCAGCGGAAAAACACGATCCCCTTAGGTGTATGATACCATGTTAGATGAGAGAATTCATACTTCATTGGTGAACATGATTATGCATGAGGAAGATGGTGGACATGCATAAAGTAATTCAGGTTTAGCTTGATACTTTTGTGATCAATTCATGTTATTAAATAAGCCTTATCTTATGAGTATCTATACAATGTAGTTAGGCGATGAAGTTAGTTACATTCTTAACTACCTTCATACTTACTCTAACTAACTTATGCATGCACACAACTAACCAATGCATGCATACAAACTAACCTATCTACATCTATCTCTAATATATAGATACCAGCATTCACTCCAATCATAACAGCAAAGTGCCGAGCCTGAATCAAAGGACCTCCAGCAAGAGCCTATAATAAACAAATCAAAGAAAAATTATCATTTATTACAACCTGTGAAAAGGAATCAACATGTTCTTGTTTAAGAGAAGCCATGGCTTGAGGGTTACGAGCAGTGTTAGGCGGCAGAGCAAAAGCGGCGGAAGCATCACTGGTGAGAGTACCCAGTATCCACCATTAAATCCTTATACGTCCGTCCAAATGTACTATTTCCTCCGGCTTGTCTACATGGCGGCGTAAACATTATGGTTCCAAATTGGATCTCATATCAGGCTATCATTAGATATTGGTTCAACCAGAACACAGGTACAAAACATCTTTTAGAACACATCGTGGCCACTATGAGTGGTTGGTCATGCCATTTGGATTGACAAATGGTCCTGCAACATTCCAGAGTTTAATGAATCACATCTTCCAACAAGCCTTAAGAAAATGTCTTGGTGTTTTTTAATGATATATTGGTTTATAACACCAATTGGATGGAACACTTAAGACATCTAGCGACAGTTCTCAAAGTATTGCAAGATAATACCTTATTTGTCAAGCTATCCAAGTGCTCATTTTGATTTAGAGAAATCGAGTACTTGGGTCACATTATGAATGGAGAAGGTGTTTCTATGGATAAAGACAAGGTCACAGTTGTCTTAAAATGGCCAGTTTCTCAAAATATAAAGTGGAGAGAAAATCTTGTTGCTTAGGCGAATGATGCAGGAGTGAAGGTGTATGATACTGCCAATAACCGGCGAATAACATTTAACGAAGCTAAGATTGATACTGCAAATGCCCAAAAGCCCAACTTCTAACACCTACATTATTTTTGGTGAAGCTAAGATTGAGGACTTGAGTTCATAGCTACCAACTCAGGCATCTGAACAATTCAAGGCTCCTAATTTGAGAAATGTTGGAGCGAAGCCAGAATCCTCTGGTATTTCTCCGGAAGAGGAAGATGTAGATGAGACTGATGTTGATCCTAAGGATATCGAGTTGGTGGTGACTCAAGCTAGTGTGCCAAGATCAAGAGCTGTTAAAGCTCTCAAAGTTGCCAATGGAGACATTGTTGCTGCCATTATGGAGCTTACTACTTAATGCTTAGAATTGGCAGTGTTTTGTTTTGTGGAGCTTACTACTTAATGCTTAGAATTGGATGTGTTTTGTTTTGTGGAGCTTACTACTTAATGCTCCAGGATGAAAAATATACAGGGAGTTTGGGATAACCAAGGAAGGCATTATTTCAACACTTATGTAGTTGAATTCAGTGATTCTCACTTTACCATTTTTCTATCTCAACACTAATTTGGCTACTATGAACAATTATATCTTTCTCAAAAAAATTCTATAGAAGATCTAGTCTAAAATAACACAACCCGATATTTCGATTTAAATCGCAAGTATATTATGAAGCCTGTTCTGAATTATAAACAATGTATCAAAAATATAGTTTAAACTCCTAAACAAGCAAAGTACTCAATTGTTAAGTGCAAATTTTACCTATTTTTGTATATAAGTTTTGTTGCACTTAACGTTACTTTATGTTAAAATCATTTGAATAAACCCCGCTTTGTGTATAAATGCGCTTACTTTACATTATAGTGTATATATTATGTTTTCCTGTAAATATCATTGAGTTTAATTGAATTTCATTCATTTTTGTAGGTAATAAAGCATTGATGTTGGAGCATTTTTAGATAGAGCATTGAATAAGCTTTCCAACGCTTCGAACCGGGCAAAAAACGGAGTTACGGTTAAAAAGTTATGGTCGAAACAAGTTGGTTTGCTGTCATGTTCGCCAAAGTTCGCCCGGCGAATGTTCGCCAGGCGAACAAAAGTTCGCCAGGCGAACCGAAAGTTCAAAAACGCGTGAAAAACACTGTTTTTACAGAAGCAAAAGTTGCATATGTTCGCCAGGCGAACGGGACTTCGCCAGGCGAATACTGGGACCCAATTTTGTCCATTTAAGTGATTTTTGAGCATTTTTTAGGGCATGTTGTTTGGGAACTTTTTACCCCAACTTCATCAAACACATTCTTGAGTAGATTTAGCTTAGAAACAACATTGGAGGGTGCATCTTGACGATCCGGAGTCGAATCCACTTCAATCGGAGTTGACAGACCGTGAGATTTGTGTTCTTCTTCCTTCCTCTCTATGTATTTTTCATTTGTTAGGGTTTTGTATGTAAGTTTATCTTGATTGTATGTATATTTATGGATCTTTGTATAAAATCTCTTTTACAACTCTTTATCGATGGTTATCTTGATTTTTTACTTAATGGGTTTGGATTGTGATAGACATATACTGTTCGAACTCGATCTTAGATGAACATCTATTAGATTCTAAATGCTAGAGATAGATTTAGGACTAATATTCACGTGGGTATCGATTCTTAATGCTCCGTGTTGTCGATTTGTGTGAGAGATCAACAATGAGATGATACGGTTGATCTCTCGACTTTGCGTTAGAGATAAGCTCTGTTGTGAGCGATACGTGATGATATTGACGAGCGAATTAGGTTGCGTGCATTTGATCCATATATTTTTTTAGTACATGATGGGTAGAACGAAATACAACTCCTGGCGAGTTTTCTCATTTCTTAAGAATGTACTTATTTTCTTGTTTTATGTTTTTCCTTTTGAATTTTTATTCCAAACCATTCAAACCCAAACTTAGAGACGTAGAGATTGTCGAACTGCATTCTTTCCCTCACACTAATCCCTGTGGAGACGATAAATCCCGGAGGAAATTCTTCCGAAAATAATATTTTTGCTTGCTGCTTTACCGCTTCAACAAAATGGCGCCGTTGCCGGGGATTGGTTTTGATATTGAGTCGCATTGCGATAGTTTCTATATTTCTAAGCTTTACACATAATTGTATATATATGTTTGTGTAGATACTTGTTTTGCTTTTGTCTTCCAGTATGTTTGTTTAAGTGTTGTATATATTTTGTTCTCGTAACATTTGTTCAAGTGGTTGGTTAGGACACTTGCTTTTGGTTTGCGCGGTGAGACATCACATGGCATGAAGGAAGGAAGTTACTAGCTAAGCACAATAAAGGCGTCGAGCTTACGACGTAAAACAAGCATGTTTTTTCCATTTTTGTTTCATTATTACTTTTTCCTTCTAGCTTAGGTAGTGTGGTGAACATTCATTAAACAAGTTGTTCTCGGATTATTCGTAAAATTCTCAAATCTTCACTTTACAACTTGTTTAATCCATTTTCACGCGGTATTTTATTGTTGTTTGGACTCAAATTTTTGTGTGGTAGCTTGAGGTATTTGAGGTGATTTTCCAAGTTTGAGTGTTTCAACTTGCGAATGCGTGGTAATGATAGTGTTTAAAGTTTTGTACACGTTTAAGGTATGTGTTTATCGCTTTCTAGGCTTTAGCATATTCATGATACTTAGACTTTTTACAATTTCCATGCCATTCATTCTTTTGTATACTTGTTCATTTTGTGAATCACTTTAGTTCCCACCTTTTTGTGAGGAAGCCTTTCGTTGTTCATATATGCTCGGAGTACCAATATTCTTGTTTTAACTGGATTTTATTATGCTTAATCTTTTGTTTGTGTTGATTATATGAAAGCATGAAAAGGATTAAGGCACTTGTTTCATTTTGAGCACAACTACCTAGCCAAATAGTCAATTCACCTTGTGAGTGTGTGATCATTTGTAACCCCTTTGAGCCTTTGGTCATTATCCATGTTGTTTGAGTTTTATTCTTGTCTATGAGTATCAAATTCATTTTTTGTGTGGATCTTGATTGTTGTTTTTTCTTGAGCCCTCAACTTTGTGTTGTTGTATGAATTTTTACCTTGTCTTAGAAAGTAGGGAGTATTCACATGATGATGTGGTTGAATTCAAGTTGGGGAGATGATGATCGTTCACTTGTGTTGTTGATTGCTATGAGGTTGAAAAATAGAAAAG